TCAATCCAGAATGCTTAGCTAGCAAAAATATCCTTTAGGAATGAAAAGAAAACCAAGAAGTTGTTAGATGAAGAAAACCTAAGAGAACTGGTTGCATCATGCCGGCTCTAAAAAAATCACTAAAGAAAGTTCTTCAGATAGACAGAGAAGATTCCAAAGGAAATCTGGAACATCAGGAAGGACGAAAGAACACCAGAATGAGTAAAAATACGGGTACAAAAATTTCTTTTTTTCTTGAGTTTTCTAAATTATGTTTGATGGTTGAAGCAAAAATTATAACATCTGTTTTTCAATGTACATGCAGGAAGTATTTAAGACATTATAAATGAGGGAGGGTAAGGGGCTTAAAGAGAGAGAAGGTTTCTACATTTCACTCAAACTAGTAAAATGCTGACACCAGTAAATTGTGATATATATGTATAATGTAATACCTACAGCAACTACTAAAATGTTGATACAAACAAGTACATTCAACAATGCTATACATAAATTAAAATGGAATTCTAAAATAGATTGGTAGGTAGATTAAAAAAGCATGACCCGGGCCGACCGAGTAGCTCAATTGGTTAAGAGCTCGTTCAATAGTGAGCTCTGAGCAACAGCGGTTCGATGCCCAGCCCAAGCTGAGGAGCCGCTGAGCTGCCAACAGGTGGCAGGATGGCTCCAGCTTAAAAAAACAAAACAAAACAAAAACTCTCCCAAACAAACAAAAGTCCTGGGTCGGTTGGCTATACAGATAAATTTTACCAAACATTCAAAGAAGAATTAACACCTATCATTTCAAATTATTCCAAAAAAGAGAAAAATGAAGAGGAAAGGCTCCCATGCTCATTTTATAAGGCCAGCATTACCTTGATTCCAAAACGAGACAAAGACACTACTAAAAAAAAATAAAGAAAATTATAGGTCAATATCCCAGATGAACATGGATGCAAATATCATCAACAAAATATTATCAAACCGATTCAGCAATGCATTAAATACATTATAAAGATTATACACTATGATCAAGTGAGATTTATTCCCAGGATGCAAGGTTGATTCAATATCTGCAAATCAATTAACGTGATACACCACATTAACAAAATGAAAAACAAAAACCATATGGTCATATCAATAGATACAGAAAAAGCAGTTGACAAAATCCAGCATCCTTTTATGATAAAATCTCTGCAAAATGGGAACAGAGGGAACATACATACCTCAACATATTAAAGGCCATATATGACAGAGCCACAGTTAACATCATACTCAATGATGAAAAGCTCAAAGCATTTTCCTTAAGACCAGGAACAAAATAAGGATGTCCACGTTCACCACTTCTATTCAACATAGTTTTAGAAGTCCTAGCTATAGCAATCAGACAAGTAAAAGAAATAAACAGCATCCAAATTAGGAAGAAGTAAAACTGTCATTATTGGCAGATAACATGATACTAAATATAGAGAACCCTAAAGAATCCACACAAAAAAACCCCCTATTAGAACTGATAAATGAATTCAGTAAAGTAGCATGATACAAAATTAATATTCAGAAATCAGCTTCATTTTTTGCACCAATAATGTGTTACCAGAAAGAGAAATTAAGAAAACAATCCTATTTACAATTGCTTTAAAAAAATCCTAGGAATAAATTTAACCAAGGTGGTAAAAGACCTGTACTTGGCAAACCACAGTCATTGAAGAAAGAAAGCTCCTTCAGAGATACACAAAAAGAAAAAAAGAAAAACAAAAAAAAAGGAAGGATATACTGTGCTCATAGATAGGAAGAATTAACATCATTAAACTGTCCATACTACCCAAAGCAATCTACAGACTCAATATAACCCCTACCAAAACACCAGTGGCATTCTTTATAGAACTAGGACAAATAATCTTAAAATTTTTATAAAACCACAAAAGACCCCTAATAGCCAAAGCAATTTTGAGAAAGAACAAAGATGGAGGTATCATGCTACCTGATATCAAGCTAACTACAAGGCTACAGTGATCAAAATAGCATGGCACTGGCATAAAAACATGCATACAGATCAATGGAGCAGAATAGAGAGAACCCAGAAATAAACCAACGCCTATGTGGTCAATTAATTTATGACAAAAGAGGCAAGAATATACACTGGGATAAAGACAGTCTCTTTAAGACATGATGCTGGGAAAACTGGACAGACACATGCAAAAGAATAAAATGGATCACTTTTTTATACTATATACAAAAATAAACTTAAAATGGATTAAAGACTTAAATGTAAAACTAAACCATAAAACTCCTAGAAGAAAACATAGGCAGTAAAGTCTCTCACATTGCTCTTAGCAATATTTTTCCTGATATAGCTCCTCGGGAAAGGGAAACAAAAGAAAAAATAAACCAATGGGACAATATCAAACTAAAAGGTTTTTGCCAGCAATGGAAACCATCAACAAAATGAAAAGACATCCTACTAAATGGGAGAAGATTATTGCCACTGATATATCTATATGGGGTAAATATCCGAAATATATAAGGAACTCACACAACTTAACACCAAAAAAATCAATCTGATTTAAAAATGGGCAGAGGACCTGAATAAATATTTCTCCAAAGAGGACATACAGATGGCCTATAATTATTTGAAAAGATGCTCAACATCACTAATCGTCAGGAAATTGTAAGTTGAAACCAGAGTGAGATACCATCTCACACCTGTCAGAATGGCTATCATCAAAACATCAACAACAAGTGTTGGTGAGAATGTGGAGAAAAGGGAACCATCATGCACTGTTGGTAGGATTGTAAATTGGTGCAGCCACTATGGAAAACAGTATGAAGTTTCCTCAAAAAATTAAAAATAGAATTACCGTATGACCCAGCAATTCCACTTTTGGGTATTTTTCCAAAGAAATCCAAAACACTAATTCGAAAAAATATATGCACCCCTATGTTTACTGCAGCACTATTTACAATAGCCAAGATATGGAAGCCAACCTAGGTATCCATTGATAGATGAATGGGTAAAGAAAATGAGGTACAAATATACAATGAAATATTATTCAGTCATAAAAATGAATGAAATCTTGCCATTTGTAACAACATGAATGGACCTAGAGGGTATTATGCTAAGTGAAGTAAGTCAGACTGAGAAAGACAAATACCATATGATCTCACTTATATGTGGAATCTAAAGAACAAAATAAATGAACCAACAAAACAGATATAAAGTCACAGATACAGAGAACATTTTGATGGTTGCCAGATGGAGTGGGGTGGGGGATGGGTGAAAAGGGGGCAGAGATTAAGATGTACCAATTGGCAGTTACAAAATAGTCACAGGGATATAAAGTACGCCTAGGAAATACAGCCAATAATACTGTAACAACTATGTCTGGTGTCAGATGGGTACTAGACTTATATGGGGGATCATTTTGTAAGTTACATAAATGTTATTTATATACAACATATATAATCACTATGTTGTACACAACTAATATAACATTGTATATGTCAACTGTGAGAAATTTAAAAAAAATTATTTTAGTAAGCTAGTTATCTTTGTACACATTTTGATTAACATTTCAAATACCAGGTGGCGTTTATTTCTTTATTTCTTGATGCTCGCACAACATATTCTTCTAAATATTTAAGCCCAGAAGACCATAGGCCAACTGTATATGATCTAACTATAACCAACGTATGAGGGCCTTTAAACTCATATTGTTTTGAGATTAGAGCATGCGAAATTTTAACTGAACAATTCTCATATTATTAAATGTCATTAACTTCAGAAGCTGTTTAGGAAGCCACTTAGGTTTTTGAGGTAGAAAAAAAGTGAACCTTTCATGTTCAAATTAGGCCTGACTTTACTGTATAAAAAGCATTTACATAAGAAGAGGTAGCCCACCCTTGATCTTTACCATCTTATTGTAATTAATCTACCTTCATTGTAATATAATTCACATATCATGAAATTCAGCCTTTTAAAGGGTACAGTTCAGTGGTTTTTAGTATAGTCACAAAGTTGTGCAAACAACTCCAGAATATTTTCATCACCACAAAAAAAGTAATCCCATAGCTATTAGCAGTCACTTCCCAATCTGTTCTTCCCCAACCCCTGGCAATCACCGATCTACTTCCTGTCTCTATGAGTTTACTTATTCTGGACGTTTCATACAAATGGAATCATACAATGTGTGGCCTTTTGTGTCTGGCTTTTTTCACCAAGAATAATGGTTTCAAGGCTCATCCATTTCCACTTTTTTAAGTTGAACAGAAAACCAAGCAGAGTACTATGACCCTCTATGTATCCATCATCTAGCCTCAACAACCCTGGCCCATCCACACATCATGTACCCCACTTTGTATTATTTTGAATGAAAGCCCAAATGCCACATTGTTTCTGTGTAAATATTTCCATAAGGACATATCATTATCATAGCTAATCTAACACTGGCTTCCTAATTAGAGCTCTCCTTCTTATTTTAACAGCCCATCTCTAACAAGAACTGAATTTTTCCTTTGCTAGGCATTATTTACTTAAGAAAGTCACTAGATTCATGTACTTGTTCTGCCTAATAAAAGCACTAAAGGGGAAAAATGGAAATAGAGTCATGAACGGAAATCTCGGAATAATTTCTCCAGAGGCCAAGATTCAAAGTGATCTAAAATTTGATAAATACCTCAGTATTTCTTCTGACAGAAACACTCACATGGGGGCTGGTTACTATTTTAGCTTTCCCTTGTCATTCCAGGAAAGGACTAGAGGTTATTACAAGGGTATTTTGCCTCTGTGTTTTTAGCATGTACAATTACAAACCTGAGAGCACTTCAAGTTCCTAGGCGAGGACTAAAATCAAAGGGAATTTATGAGCCCAACAGACATAATTTAGGGTTTCCTTAATGTTTGTTTTACGAAAGGCAGCAAAGCAGATATTCACTATAATAAGGTGAGGCGACAACAAACAGAAAAGAGAAGAAAGGACACGTAAGGATAAGGGTGGCAGCAGAAGGTTTATTCGAGTTACACTTACCTTTTTGTGAGCTATCAGGAGGCAATTGGAATGTTCATGTTCGCAAGCAATCTCGTAGTCAGGGATCAGCCCCACCAGCTCGTGGACGAAGCGTACCACCTCCTCGTGCCAGGGCACGTTGGCCATGGTAAGGCTGCTGGCCGAGCTCTCTCCACAATAAGTAACACCCTGTGCAGACATTACAACAGTTAGAGACAGTTACGGTCCTACTTAAAAGGCATAGAGTAAGAGTTTCAGAGGTGGAAAGGCTTCCACAGGTATCCCAATCTAATCCAATCTACATTTTAGAGTGGAGAAAGTGATATAAAGATGATAAAATTTGCTAATATGAGTAGTTAGTAACAAAGAACAATGGGGCCCCCAGGCCAGTGTTCTTCCCACTCTATGTCAACACTGGCGCCTGGGTACCTGTGTTTTGTGTTACGTCACAATCTATGCTGTCTAGTCACAATTATATATGTGAAAGAATAAAACCTTTACATTCAGATTCATTTGGGCAGTATAACAGACTAATTTTCAAGGGATTATAGTCCCCTGGTATAAGAATGCAGGGATAGTTGACACCCATAAAAATTCACTGAACAATTTCTTCAGTGGAAAAATAGGGTGAGCTCCCACGTTCTATTACAGTTTAGACTTGAGGTTGGTAAACTTTCTGTAAAGGGCTGGCAAGGGACCCTGTTATTGTTCTTTATTCTTTAAGGATTTCACTTTGTAATATATTTTGTATATGGATATATAGATAAACAAAGAATCATGCCAAATAGGAAATACATTTGTGGATATGCATACATATACTTTAACACACCTACACATACACACATGTATCTCACTTCCACAGGAATCCCTGTTCACGATGAATGCAGTGAGATAACTGTGCTTCTGTTTGGAACTCTACCTGACAGCCCAGGCACATAAAACCCAAAAGTTTTATAACTAAGTTCTCTATTTGGTAGGGTGCATAATGATAAATGATTAATTTTTTAATAATAAGGTATGTCTTAAATTTGTAGGCTCTTCAAATACCGCAGAATCAAACTTTCTTGGCAAATGGTTTGAATATTCTAGATATGCTGCTACTAAGCAGGGAATAACTGAAATTTTAAAAAAGTGCAGCAGTCACATACACTCTCTTTCTCTCTCTCTCTCATTCTCTCTCTCACACACAAACACACATATACGTATTAAAGGGAGAAGAATGACATTAAGTAAAAGCCAACAAATGAGCACTGCAGAGGGACCCTGACCCTACAGATGGCAGAGCTGGGACTTGGCTGAAAACTCATGAGCTCTGCAAAACGCTCTACTCCAGATGGCTATTCAAAAACATTGCTGGTAGCCTAAACTGAGAAGACCTTTGCTGAACGTAAACTACAGACAACCTAGCTTAAATACAATAAACAAAAGAATCTTCTTTACTAGCCCAATGATTTATAGACTTCATCAAACTGAGTCTGAGTGTTAGGTGAATTAAAAAAGCAAACAATTTTTTTAAATCTTTAAGAAAGCATGGCTGCAAAATTGTGTGTAAATGTACCCACATGAATAAAAACCATGAAAATTATTTATTGGTAGGTCAAATTAGTCATAAAAATGTACTTCATGTCAATTTAAATACTGTTTATGATGTGTGAATTATATAAACAGCCACGCATATAGTAACTAACTCAAAGGAATTTATTTTTAATATTTAAAAAGTTTACTGAAACAGAGGTTTTAGATAAGATCTTATATTCATAACAATGGCTTTGGAAAATATTTTAATATTTCTTATTCAGCAATAATAAATCATTAGGCAGTAAGGAGAGATTTGGTTTGGAAGTAAAATTAAAGAATGAAGGCCACAGTTTATCGTAAAATTAAAGTATGAAGGCCACAGTTTATCACTGTGCCTTCACATAATACTTGTCCATACATTCACATGATGCTTTACAGCACTTTCACATAAAAGTTCTCATTTAAGCCAAACAAAATCCTCTGACGTGGGCAGTATGAGTACTTGCTGAACCAGCCAGAGCCCGAACCTTCACCATGACAGAAAGCTGTAGGCAGACGCCAGTTGCAGTGAATTAGTTCCAGAAAGGAAGCACTTTGGGGAACCCCTGAGCCCTCACCCAGCTTGGCTCCTGGTGCCTCACTGCTCGGTGCCGTCTTCTCTGCTTCACTTCACCCTGCACTCGTCTGCTAGTGCGACTGCTTCATTCCTGAGCACACCAACCCTGAATTGTCTAAAAATACTTCTTTTGCCCTCACATCAGGGCTGTGTGACACCTTCTCATCCCACCACCACCCCATACCTTCCCCATTTATCACCAGCACCAAATTCTTCCCTCACAACTTTGGAAAAAACACAACCTCAAGAAAATGGATGGGGACAATGTGGCAACTGAAAAGCAGCCACTCGCTCCACAATCTACAGGTTGAGAAATGACAAACAGACCCAAACAAAGTTAGACCACCTGGTTGGCAGTGAAAAGCATACTGTACCACATCATTACCCTGGGGCCTTGCTGATGGCTCTGCTCTAGGAGACGGGGCCATAGTCTCTTTTGACTGGATGTTTGGAAAGTTTACCTGGGGATTCAAGGTCTGTGGGCAGAGCAGGATTTTGGCAGCTTGATATTCTATAATGACTGGGTGTCAAAAGACTTCTAATACTGTTTTTGTCCCCTGTAGTTTGATGACAAAAGAAATGTTGTCTTTATGACTTTTTGCAGTGATATACTCAAAACATGTCTCTCCTATACCCTAAAAATGCTTCCATTACCCCCATCCACCCCCCAAACCCATCCCCCAAAAAACAACAACAGCTCAAGCTTCTCAGCAAGTCTTCAGGCCTTCTTACTGGACTGCCCCACTCAGTATCCAGTCTCTACCCGGCTAACTTGCCCACTGTCTCTCTAATCTCCAGTCAGGAACTCCCACCCCATCTGACCCTAATATCATCATTGTGTCTCGTGCGCATCTCCTACCAGGTAACTGATATATATATATATATATATATATATATATATATATATATATATATATATATATATATATATATATATATATATATAATGTGTGTAAATTCTGAGCTCTCAGAGGGCAAGGGGTGCACCTGTTCCTCTCTGTAACCCCAACCAATCTATGCTGAGTGACCTAAAGATCAAGTAACAAATTCTTCTATGATGATAAACCCAGAGCTCTTTTCTGATCTAAAAAAAATTTCATTCATATTATTTGGGATTTTTCTACTCCCTAATGATCATGAACCACCTGATAAAAACTGGTTAGGTAGTGCTACGTACACACACAAGTATTATTCCGTACCTTTGTATAGAGAGTGAGGCCCTGCTAAAACATTTGTTTTGCAAGATGCATTCTTCAAGGACTGAGCTCTGACAGTTATGAGGTCTGACAATTAAGTTCGTGAACTCGTCCTAGAAAAAGTGCTGCATACCTCATTGCTGAATATCACTATGGTCACCTTCAAAGTATTCCCCTTGGGAAGTTATGCACCAACACCAGCGCCTAGTCCACCCTTCAAAGCAATTTTGAAACTCTTTTTCTGGAATAGCCATTAGTGCTGTCATTGTATTAGCCTTGATATCCTGTATGTAATTAAAATGTCTTCCTTTCAATATTTCCTTTATCTTCAGATAAAGAAAGAAGTCACTGGGGGCCAGATCAGGTGAGTAGGAAGGGTGTTCCAATACAGTTCTTTGTTTACTGGCTAAAAACTCCCTCACAGACAGTGCCGTGTGAGCTGGTGCACTGTTGGGATGCAAGAGCTATGAATTATTGGCAAAAAGTTCAGGTCGTCTAACTTTTTCATGCAGCCTTTTCAGTGCTTCCAAAGAGTAAATTTGGTTCACTGTTTGTCCAGTTGGTACAAATTCATAATGAATAACCCCTCTGATATCAAAAAAGGTTAGCAACATTGTTTTGACTCTTGATTTAGACTGACAGAACTTCTTTGGGAGTGGACAATTGGCTGATTTCCATTGTGCACTTTGACACTTTGTTTCAGGGACATATTCGCACACCCATGTTTCATCACCAGTGATAACACAGCCCAAAACATCATCTTGTCTCTCCAAAAGGTCTTGACAAACTTCGACTCTTCTTTGCTTTTGTTCATCGGTGAGCTCCTTTGAGACTATTTTTGCACACACCTTTCTCATGCCAATATTTTCAGTTAAGATTTTCCTAACTGTTTCTCCATCGATGTTTACTTGGTCTGGTATGCTTCTCACAGTCAGCTGACGATTCTGATGCACAATTTGACAAATTTTTGTAATGTTTTCGTCAGTTCTGCTCATTACTCCGCCCTGACCTCTCTTCATCAATGACACGTTCTCTCCCCTCAGAAAAATGTTTAATCCATTTATACACGGCCATTTTCTACATGGCATTATCCCCATAAACTTGGATTAACATGTCCCTGATTTCACTTTCACTCTTGCCAAGTTTAAAAAGAAATTTAATGTTTGTTCGTTGCTCTAATTCAAGCTCAGACATTCTAGCAATGGCACACAAAAACATGCAACAACAATAATGAATGCCACTCAGTAAGACACTGTCACACTTCAACACAAACACAACTGTGAGACACTGATATACCAAGGTTATGAAACATTACCGAGCTGTTTGTACAGTGCTGCCAATGTAAGTGCACAGTGGCAAGTTCACAAATGTAATTGTCAGACCTCGTACAGTGCTAAGGGTAAGAGAGTCTTAAATCACTTGACAACAAACAATTACTGAGCACTTACTATTTGTAAGGTGCAATGCTGGGCAGAGACTACAAAGGCAGTATTTCATTATAAACAAATTGTACTACAAAACTTTTCAAATGAAGCAGGTGTTTGTAACACGAAACACATTTTCATAAACAAGTGAGCCAATAATGGTAGTTAAGATTCTCAGGCTAGCAAATAAAGGCCAATTTGAGCCTAATGAAGCTAAAATGTATGTTAATTTACAGGGATTTTAACAGAAAAATATTTTACAAGACCAGCAACAAAAGAGGAAATCAAGAAAATAAAAAAATAACTTTGGCCTTTTGAGCTTCCTTTGCTCAGCCCACTCCAAACTCTTTGGAGTGTACTTTCTTTTCTAATAATGGCCCTTGAGCCATTCTCTACTGCTCGGCCCACTTCTGCTTTTTTGAAATGTATTTTTAC